ATCGACGGCTTCTATCCTTGTGGAGGTAGTTGAGGGGCACTCGCATTCTGAAACGTAGCCAGCCGCTACTCTCACATGACTGGAAAGCACCGATGTCAGCCCCAAATCCACAAGCTTTGAGCTTCGGGGGCTCGGGGATTCAGGGTTCAGGGTTTTGGGTCTAGGGTACCTACAACACCATTTTTTTCATCTTCAGCCCTAACGCTCGGCGAGGGATGGATGCCGACACAACGTTAGTCCCGACAGCAAGTGCGCGTGAAGCTCTAACATCGGAGAGCTTATGATTATGCAGTTCTCAGCTGCACTTACATGCCAGGTATATGCAGGTGTGTCAAGCTTGTCTACGGTCAATCTCCATACGGTTGGAAACTGCAGGCATTTGCAGCCGGAGGCCAACAGCATGAGCAACACCAGGAGCAAAACAGAGTTGTTCTTCATGCCCGTGCCCTGCTTGTACCAACAGCAGGCACGACATGAGCAATACCCGGTAGAGGCCGAGACACTCTTCGCCGGAGGCGAGTCCGAGCTCGCAGCCATGCCGAAATTCTCGTTGTACGCAAGGCTTCGTGCAGCTGACGAGGAGGCCGGCAAGGACCGGCTGCGTGCGCGGCTCGTGTGGTTCCTCGGCCTCCAGCACTTTTTTTTAGGGCTCCGAGAACTGTAACCGGCCAGGCCCAGTTTCTACTTGTGCATTAGCTTCTGAGCTTCTTTAGGCTTCCAGGGCTATACAGTATATGAAAGGGAAGCTTGCGTTAAGGCTTTTATAAGCCTTTAAGGCTTCTGAAGGGCCATCTCGGTGAATAAAAAGCTCCAGGGAAGGTTGCGGGAAAGCTAAGGCTCCTGGTGGTGCTGGAAACGATCTCCTTGCTTTGCATTCCTCAAGTGGCCACTCTCACGCACGGAGCCTTCTTTCTGATCCCGCTGGGGGCGCTCTTCCTAGCTGCAGCGATCCGTCTTTACTCCAGGCCTCGCATCCTGCTGGCTGAGCCACTTTGCGTCCTTTGGCCTGACAACCATTCACGACACGGCCTGGCGCGCGAGCAGGCGCCCAACCTCTGCTTTGGTGGCTTCGTGTGGGCACTGAAGCTTGTGTGCGCTTTGACTTTCTGGACGAGCCCCGCTGCCTTCAGCTTCCTGGGGGACGGTTGCCCTGACGCAGTCCCACGCCCGAATTGCAGCCATTACACACGAGAGCAGGATGGACTTCGCTTCTGCATGGACATACAAAACCGTTACGAGCCGGGAAATGCTAAACGCAAAGGCCTGTATGAACAGGGCGGAGCATGCGCGAATGCGTGCTATGGTTGTGGGCCTTCGGGGGTTGATCCGTTTTGGACGGGCATTTTGATTGTGCACCGGAAGTACTGTTATGGCGAATGCGCGTTGTCTTGCTGCCAGTGCCTGCACTGCCAACTTTCACCCGCAGTGCCTTTTTGGTTAAAACAAGGATGCAGTGCGGGAGCTTTTGCGCCAGATTTTGCACCGGAGCTATTTCGGTGTGTCCATGGATGCATCAACATGCCAATGCCGAATCGACTTCCGTACTATGAAGCGCAGACGCCGAGCTTCGAAAACGGTATGCTCGCGCAACTTGCTCGCTGCACCTTATTAGTCCACGGAGAAGAATCTACTCAAGTCAAGATTGCCGTGGCTGTAGTCTCAGCGTTGCAGTGCTTGCCTTTAACCTCTTTGGTGGCCTGCCTTTTGGTCAGCATCTTGGTGCATCTGCTGAAGGGCGGAAGTGCCTCTGTCATGCTGGGCGCTGTGCCCGTGGAGCTTGAGACCATTGAAGCCATAGATGCAAAAGCAGCGCAGTTGCAAGACCAGATTCGGCATAGAAGACTGGAATCCTCGCCAAAGGTGAAATTCCAGCTTTGGATGGACTTTGTTGTTTTCCTGGTGGACTACCTGTCAGACTACAACTGCCTCCGAACTTTTATCGTGGAGGGTGCCTACGGTGTGGCAGCCGTGCAGGCTGTCATCATCGCTGCTCCGGTAGTCTTGGACTGCTACCGTGGCAAAATACAGCCAGTCCAAGTATTCGGGGGATTCATGGAGTCACGGAAGCGCGGCTTTCCTACCGACGACTTCATCCTGGCGCTTCGCTCGGAGAAGAGCCTGGAGGCTGCACTCTCAATATTCCCTTAAGCCGAAACCCCTGCACCCAAACCCTAAAACTCTACCCCGAAAACCTATGCCTATGCCCGAAACCAGAGCTAAAGCAGGAAAGAGCCCTGAGGCCCCACTTTCCATGTTCCTGCAGTTCTACACGCTGTTGCGGAGCACACGGTCCTCGTCCATCTGGAGCCTTTGCATCTCCATGCCGCTGAGCATCCTGGGCATTGCAAAGCATGTCTACGCAACCTTTGAGCTGCAGATTCTGGAGGTGCTGACAAGACATCCAACCCAGCCCAGGCAGCCAGAGCTGCAGACCACACCCCTGCAGTCAGGGCACAGCAACACTCCCCAGCACATACCAGGGCACGAACCAGCTTCAGGTCCATGGAGATCAGGCGACGAGAGCCTTGCAATGCAAGGCTCCCCTTGTCCGCCAGATTCCATGCA